AGCGCTTATCCATCTGCGCCACTGGAGCTGATGTTTTACAGCCACGTTTAACTAAATGTAAATATACACTCCTTATTTTTTATTCCATAGTAAGGGCAGTTCATACAATACATTCAATACATTTAACTGAGCTACTTTAATACCATCTCCGAACTTTCTACCACGACTCTGCTGTTCTTCCCTGTATACGTTGATTGACAGATGTCTCGTCCAGTCAGCGGTGAGTAATCCCAAACCAATGGCGCTGTCTCAAACTATACCTACCTCTTCCGGTTTGTCTGATTTGTCGTTGTGTTTTCTGACTTGTTAATTTGTTTTCGAATTTGTCATTGTGTTTTCTGACTTGTTATAATGTTTTCTGAATTGTTGTTGTGCTTTCTGAATTGTTATTTTGTTTTTTAGACTTGCATTTGCATTTGTAATTTGTTATTTTGTTTTCAGAATTGTGATTTGCTTTGCACTTCTCGGCCACCGTACAAACTGGCATTATGCAATCAAATAAACAACCCCATAAATGTGTGACTAGAGTGTATAGTAATATATCAGAATGTCAGAGAGCAACTGAATAAATAGTTGAATAAACAGCTTAACTGGGTCCATGGACATAGATATAAAGCATAAGGCTTAATTCAAAAAACAACTGTGCCACTTTAAGACTGGGTCATTTACAAAACCTTATTCGAAACTACCTACTTTGGCATAGTGCTGTGCCTTTAAATTTAAATAATATTTTTATTTTCAGCACAAACACACCTCCTTTCACTTGGTGAAATTAGCATTGCATACAACAGAGTTTTATATAAGAGATGCTTGCAAATAAAATAAACAGTGTATTCATAATGTATGAAAACAGCAGGCACAATTCCTAGAGAATTCACAGATCTCTCAAGTATAAAATAAATAGTACATATACACATACACACAAACATATTTGTCAGTAAGATTTTTTTTAAATAAATTGATCGCATAAATCAAACATGACATTAAAGTCATTTAGAATGTTACAAAAAATAATCAATTACATATAAATGCTGTTCTTCAAACGCACGCACGCACACACACACACACTAATAACACACCTGCACTGCTCAGGGCTGTAAACATTCAACTCAATTGACAACTACAGTATACTAGACCCAGTGGATTTAAGCGAGGAACACCATTAAGGATCTCGCCTCTTCTCATCACTGCAGCCAGGAAACTGTAAAAACAGTTTATGGGCTGATTCTAAGAGCTCCAGAAGGAGTTTCTATCCCCAAACCAATCCAGATCTTAATGATGATACTGCAGACGCCCTGAACACTGCTCACTGAATATACTGAAATATAACAGCCCCAAAAGAATCTGGTCACTTTAGACACTTAAAAATGCAAGAATGTCATTGCATTAGATAACTAATCATCAAACCAAGTGTCTTGTGTTTCAGAAAAGATATCAAAAGCACTTTTTGTTAGGTTTCAAACTGACATATTGTTAAAAATGAATGCATATGGCCACATTGTGGTTCTCAAACCATAGTGGAACATGTTCATCATTAATATGATGAACTGCATGTAGTTACTCTTTTAAGACACATTTGAGAACTTGAGAAATAGAGAACTTCTTACATCCTCTAAAATCATCCTGAGACCAGTTGGTTAAAAGTAATAGCGAAAATGGCTGCATGAAAGTTAGTCCTTAATATCAAATGCCATTGGTTGAACTTCATACATTTTAGGGCAGCTACAGTGCACAAATATAATTAGAGGCCACTGTATCTATATACAGTTCATCCATTTTATTCTCTGCTCTAAACACCAGATCTTTGCATTTCATGTCTGCATTATAATATACATAATGTTTATATTATTTACTTTTAATTGCACATTTTTTTTCACAAGGTTTGTACTCATATGCAATAAAAAAGTTAGCAAAACAGCTCAAAAGAAAACAGATTGCAAGTACAGTCACAGGCAGAAGGGAAAAAAGGATGGAGTGGAAGAAAAGAAAAGGATTAGAGAGGTAAATACCAGTGCAGGAGAGGGGAGGTTTCCCTTGGGACTGGTGACTATGCTGTTTTTGGTGCTGTTTGTCTGGGGCTGTGCAGGGAAACACAACATACATTCGGTTAAGAAGGAACGAGGGAGAGATCGGCATGCACATGCACACAATCACACTCACACATGCAGTAGGCTACAGTCATTATCTGTTTTAAGGTAACTGACTGATGTAGTGCCAACTACCTATTTACATGAAAACAACCTTATTCATCGAGACACAATGTTCTCTAGCAGCGAGAGGGACGGGAGGGTCATTATTAAAGTCCATAAAAATGCTTTTCGCCAATTAGGCTTCCTAAACTAATCCATTATACTAATTAGCCACATTACATGCAGAGGCGGATTAGCAATGGGTGTTTATTTGTACTCGGGGTCCCTCAGGCCTCACGTCTATAAGCTTGCGGGGATATCGAGGCAGCTAACGGTGCGTTTCCCTTCGTACGGCTCAGGCACTCGCGTGAGAGGTGTCGTTATCATGTGTCTATGTGCGGAAGACAGGTCAAGGGAGATGAATGAACAGCAGATCATGACTACTGGATCCTCACAAACATGAAATAAACCCACATACACGAGCACAAACACATCATGAAATGACTTTGGCACTATGGGCACACATTCAAATACATATTGTTCCTAACTGGACCATATGATGGCTAGCAGACTTAACAATGTAAACATTAACAATTCCCCAAAACTTATCGCAGATGGTCATGGGTCGCTATGGAAGTCCAACTTTATCCAAGTATACAGGGATATCGTAAGGAAGGACAACCAGCAATGCTATCCCTCTTACGGGAACCATAAGAAAAAAATCCTGAGCACAGAGAACATAAGCGTCAATCCTGCAAAGGAAGCAAGCAGATTTGGTGCAGTCAGAACCCTGGGATGTGCATAAATAGGATCTTCAGATCCTATGGAAATATTGGGAAAAACACAGGGTCTTATTCTGTGTGTCTTTTCCATTGCCTACCTGTGTATGAGCAGAAAGGACTCTCCTAAACCTGCTTTAGAAAGCTTCTGGAGTGGTCAGTGTCAACCAAAATACATCCGATTACCAACATGCAGAATGAGACCCAGGGGGTATGTGGTGTCAATAGGAGCTGGTCAAAATGATTCAAACAAGGTAAAGAACAGCAAGTAGGAGGAACCCAGTGTTTGTCAGAAAATTCTAAAGAAAGCGGGGACACATTTACTGGGTCCAAGCGGTCTCACAAAGCAAGTAACAAAATCTATGAGAGTAAAAAAAACATGCACAGACAAATCCAAATTAAACCCTGCGGCTCGTGACGACACATTGATGTCCTAAGACACGAAACGATTGGTTTGTGTGAGAAACCGAACAGTATTTATATCATATTTTACCTCTAATACACCACTATGTCCAACTGTCTTTGAGCGCGCGCAACGTATACGCGCGAGAGATCACTTCCGGCGCTTGCGTAAACTACGCCAGAGTGCGTACACACCTCACGCACCGGATGCCGTGCGCGCGCCCAAAGATAGTTGGACATAGTGGTGTATTAGAGGTAAAATATTATATAAATACTGTTCGGTTTCTGGCACAAACCGATCGTTTCGTGTCTTAGGACATCAATGTGTCGTCACAAGCTTCAGGGTTTAATTTGGATTTGTCTGTGCATGTTTTTTTTACTCTCATAGATTTTGTTACCATTGCCATGCATTATACGACTGATAGACTGCAACGGCTGGAGTTAAAAATCTCCGTTTGTGTTCTACTGAAGAAACAAAGTCACCTACATCTTGGATGCCCTGGGGGTAAGCAGATAAACATCAAATTTTCATTTTTGGGTGAACTATCCCTTTAAGGCCTGTTTACACCAAGCACAATAACTATAAAGATAATGCTAAAGATACAGTTCTAAAAATTGTTCTCAATATTAAAGAATAGCAGAGTCCACACCACAGCTATAACGATAAAGGCACAGAGAAACGATATCGTTGGAATCACTGATTCCAGCTGATGAACGATAAAAACATTGACTGCCAGAATCACCTGGCAGGCAAGCGTGCGCTTACAGACAATATCATTCGCTGGTGTGGGCGCTAATATCTTTAAAGTTATCGTTCTTGGTGTGAACGGGGCTTTAGTCTTTTGTCAAATGTACATTTTTGTTATTATATTTAGTCAACCTTATCCTGTTTTTTAGTAAGGTTTTAGTCGACTAATTGTCTAAGCATTTTAGTCAATGAAATCGTAGTCACATTTTCGTCATGCTGTATAACAGTTAAACTGATAAAAAATATTTTGCTCAAAATTATAATCGACATATTTATATTTAATTATAATATACATAATTAAAACTTTATAAACCGTAATCTCTAGCTTCTGCTAACTGTCGCACGCGTGTTCACGAGAGAGTGCCGTACCCGTAAATATGGATATCCATAAATATGGGTACTTTTCTTACACAAATGCATCAATTCGCTTCAGGAGGTCTTTATTAAAATAATTTTTGGGTGAACTATTCCTTTAACTATGTAGTTTTAGTAATTGTTCTAATTCTATGAGCGTTATCTTCCATAAGTGTGGAAACTAACATAGGTACTGTTATCATTCTTGATGTGAAAAAAAACAGGCTAAAGTCAGCCAATCAGACAATATGATAGAGTGTATGCTCAGTGGATAGAGTGTGGGTGGCCTGTGAGGCGGAGACTAAGATCCAAGATTAGTTGACCAGTAAAAAAACACCATTTTATTTATTTATTTAAACAGAACCAGTCTGAGTAGGTTTAATAATGGCCATCAATTCATTAGGTCCCACAGAAATGCAGGAAGTACGACTTTAGAGGAAAGTGTCGCACAATAGCTGGTACAGTAGGTGGAGGTACAAGAAGAGGAAGATGAAAGAAAACAGAAGGGTGTAAATGAAACAAGATTCTCACCATGTACTGAATGGTAGAGCTCGACTTCCGCTTCTACAGAGAGAATGAAAAGGAGACAAGTGAGAAAAATGGAGGAACCTGTGAGACAATATGTATAAAAAAAAAAAAAAAAAAAACGCCTCCAATTCTAAAGCAGAATTACATAACCAGCAGTCGTGCAAAGATTTAAACACTAAGGAAGTCAGCTTCGGTTAATTTGTGAAATAGTGATAGAGACTAAATAAAGAGCAGCTCAGCTGGAACTTTGAAGACGGAGCATAAAGGTGAAGGAAGGAGAGAGAGCACAAAGTAGTCGTGAAAAGGACAGAAGAAATGTATTGAAATGGCTGGAGAGGGCGTGGGGGAGCCTGTTGCTAGGAGATGAGAGGAGCGCTGTGCTGCTATTTTCGTCTCAGAGTTTCAGACTCACGGCTATTCTTGGAACCAGAGTCACATTCCCCGCTGAACTATTTCTCTGCTCAAACACATACATACACATGAAGAGAGCAGGTGGGAGTCACAGAGGTGGGTTGAGGGTAGAAACAGGTAGGAGTGTGTTTGAGTGTGTGTCTGCGAACACTCCCGTAAGCGCTAAGTGCAGTTCATCTCTGAAAATCCCGTTTCGTGAATCAGATTACTCTGGCTCCTCAATGGCATCACAGCCGTCGTCGTTATATCATTCTCTTAAACGTCTCCCACATGCGCTGACGGAAATAAAACTTTCATTTCATCTCATCTTTCAGTGCTATCGCTGGCTCTGTGACCGGATAGAGCAGGGGTGCCGAACACGGCCCACAGAGGTGTCCAATCCGGCCCGACATTTTGTAACTTTGCAAAAAAACAAACAAACACATTATGAGAGTTTTTCAGTGCCGGATGAAGGCTATCAGTTTACAATATAATTCAATATATGGGGGCAAAAATAAAATGCCCTGTAAGAAATTTAGTTTTTAATATTTATGTCGTGATAGTTACGTAATGTCTAACTATACCAAGAGTGTTGCTTTCCCGAATGTCAGCGCGATCGCAAATGAATTGATTTTATATAACAGCTCAACAAACAAGACGCTAGTATTAAGTGTGTTATATTAGTCACAATGCTGTTTATCTCTTTTTTGGCAAGAAAATTTTTTTAACAAGAGGCAGCACTGTGTATATTGTTACTGAATTAATCTGTGTTTTTGAACAAATTATTTGAGTTAATGATTCAGTGGCCCATTCATAAAGACAATCACTAGTTTAGATTCTAAAGAATCAGCCGTTTTGAATGAACGATTCAATGGATCACTCATTAAGACGACAATATATAATAAATATATTATTATATATTGGGATATGTAGAGTAATATTTATATGCATTTTATGTTAGTCTGATACACTGTCATGAAGGCCTTACAAGCTGTCAGAATTTAATCTTTTTTGGTTTATATAGACATATCAACAACTGCACCAAATTGCTCATTTTTGCTCAGTTTGGGCCTTTGATTTAAACTGAGGGTTTTTTTCCTCCTGGAATATGAGCTCCATATTCTCCATGAAAGCCATTAAAGCTTGATGTATCAAATTTGATACTCACCAAATTTTGTTTTGTCTAAAGGTTTAATAAACTGTTCCATTCCATCAGGCTTTACAGGGCTAAAGCACATCCATATAATATATCATATTAAATGATGGTATATTAGTTATAGTTGTTAATAATTATATATATTTAATTCTAAATTAGTATGTTACTGTTGGTAGCAGATCTTATGGTATGGCGTATTGTGTGTCTATTAGTGATGCGCGGATGAGCTAAAACGTCACCCGAATCCGCAGCTTCAAATAAATTATCCACCCGCCAACCGCCCGCACCTGTATTTTTGTCTGATTTAGATAACCGCATCCGACCCGCACCCGATCATCACATTAGGGTTCGTACGGTCATTAAAAACCTGGAAAAGTCATTGAACAGCAATTTCCAGCCCTACAAAGTTTTGTAAAAATAAATAAACTCAAAAAGTTTTTGAAAAGTTTCATGAAAATCTATTTCACAATTCTCTGTATAATAGAATTATGTTTAATCAGATCCTGAATTTCGTTGCGGGATTGCGCATACATCGCATTACTCATTCCCGCAGCTTTCGACTTTAAAATGAGGGAAATTACTGCAAAACCTTTATTCAATATAGCGTGTAGGTTAGATGAGTAAATAAATCCACACAAACCATCAGATGAAAACAGCGTAAGTGATTCAGCTGTACCGCGTCTTCTCTCTTTCTTTCGCTTCACATCGACGCATCTAGAGCTGCTGCACGCTGCGATAGAAGACTTTAGCTCGCGTTTCGGGACAGTTGACAGAATTGTCAATAGCCTGATTGGTCATTGTTGCATCGTCACAAAAATGTATTATTTTCACGTCTTTTTAAGCCATTCGGTACTCGCGCTCTCCAGAGGCGCGTGCGCTCACAGTCACATCCAAAGTGCGTACTGCGAGTACCAAATTGAGAAAGTACTGTCGGTTTTGTCTTAAGTTAATGTAAACAGTTGCAAAACAAAACGCATGAGTATCAGTATTGGATCCGTGAAATAAGTCTTGTGACATGCAGCCTAATAAAGCTGTGCCGTCTTTTATTAATGTTAATCAAACAACAAAACTTACTGCTCTTGACTAAATAATGTTTTGTTGAATAACTTTTAATGTTAATTTACAGTTTATTCAATTTCTGTAGCCTATTTAAAACACGTTCATAATTTAGAAAATGTAGTTAATACTTAAAAATAATGATTTATTTTATCCACCCGCGACCCACCCGCAAATAATCAGAATGCATTTTTTTATTACCCGACCCACCCGATCCGCGGATAAAACCGCCATCCGCGCATCACTAGTGTGCAATATTAAACGACACTTTGACGCACTGGACAGCTTCGCATGGAGAAAGTAAATGAGCGAGGAGTGTGCAATATTTATTGTGTACTATTATCCTAACTGTTGTTTTAATGATGTGTGAGTTGACATTTTGTAACTTTGCAAAAAAACAAACAAACACATTATGAGAGTTTTTCAGTGCCGGATGAAGGCTATCAGTTTACAATATAATTCAATATATGGGGGCAAAAATAAAATGCCCTGTAAGAAATTTAGTTTTTAATATTTATGTTGTGATAGTTAAGTAATGTCTAAATATATCAAGAGTGTTGCTTTCCCGAATGTCAGCGCGATCGCAAATGAATTGATTTTATATAACAGCTCAACAAACAAGATGCTAGTATTAAGTGTGTTATATTAGTCACAATGCTGTCTGTTTATCTCTGTTTTGGCAAGAAAAGTTTTGAACAAAGCCGAAGTAAGACCAATTGTGTGTCTCCGAGGCAGCACTGTGTATTTTGTTACTGAATTAATCTGTGTTTTTGAACAAATTATTTGAGTCAATGATTCAGTGGCCCATTCATAAAGACAATCACTAGTTTAGATTCTAAAGAATCAGCCGTTTTGAATGAACGATTCAATGGATCACTCATTAAGACGGAGACTTGCTGCCACCTACTGGCGGCTTTAGTGTCATATTTATTTATCCATGACAGGCTTAAAAACCAACCAAGGTGCTATCTCAAAAACACACTCTGCAAAATATGGTAAATTATCACTATAAAAAAAAAGACATTTTGTGTCAATTGCACACCCCTAAAATAACCAAGCATCATCTTTAAAAAAAAAGTTGTCCTAGATTTTAAAAAAAAATTATATTGTAGTTTGTATGGTTAATATTAATGTAATTGTGAGCAAACTAGGGTTTAACAAAAGGTAATTCGGCCCGCACAAGGGGACATTTTCTCCGATCCGGCCCTCAACCTTAAATGAGTTTGACACCCCTGGGATAGAGCTTGTTACGGTGTTTGGTAACACCTTATATTTCCACGCTCTTATGTCTGCTAGAGAGCCCGGCAAATACACTGCGTAATCCACACTCTATTTTTTACTTTTTGAGCTAATGTGTGATGGGATTTAAATATGGGGAAATGTGTTAAAGGTTTTATCGGTAGCTAAATAACCATATATTTCAATGCTCGCATGACTTCTAGACTGCGGAAAATTCACTGAAATGCTCCTCGCCGGGTTCATACTTTTACATTTTCACACTCATGTGTGGAATCCTGGGAGCCGGATTTAAATATGGTCTTACTGGTAGATTAATAAGGGATTTAGAAGATGATATTCACATTTTACCTTTAAATGAAAAATCGGCGATAGTTCACCCATTTTCTCACCATGTCAGTCTAAATTCGTTTTCTTTCCTTGGAACCACAAAAGGTGATGTCCAAGCTTTTCTTTTGCTTATAATGAACGTGCATGGTGATCATTAGCTGTCAATGCACAAATTAGCTATATGTGACCCTGGAGCACAAAAGCAGTCTTAAGTCGCTGGGGTATATTTGTAGCAATAGCCAAAAATACATAGTATGGGTCAAAATTATAGATTTTTCTTTTATGCCAAAAATCATTAGGATATTAAGTAAAGATCATGTTCCATGAATATATTTTGTAAATTTCCTACTGTAAATATATTAAAACTTAATTTTTGATTAGTAATATGCATTGCTAAGAACTTCATTTGGACAACTTTAAAGGCGATTTTCTCAATATTTTGATTTTTTTTGCACCCTCAGATTTCAGATTTTCAAATAGTTGTATCTTGGCCAAATATTGTCCTATCCTAACAAACCATACATCAATGGAAAGCTTATTTATATAAATCTCAATTTCGAAAAATTTACCCTTATGACTGGTTTTGTGGTCCAGGGTCACATATTACAGGTCTTCTGAAGACATACAATCACTTTGTGTGGAAAAACAGAGACATTTGATTTTGGAAGAATGGCAATACAGTATACAAGCATCTGCTTTCCTTGTATGAAAAAGTGCAGTTTAAACATATTGTGCTAAGCTCACTTCAGCTCATTTAGTGTTTAATGTAACAATAACATCAGAATCGGAATTACATGTATATTGAGTAAATGATGAACTACCCTGATCGTTTGTCATTTTTTTAATCATGTCAGTAAGGTGAAATCAGTTTTGAGGAGAGTTTGACTAGACTTAATTGAAACGGTACTGAAATATAGTTTAAAGGTGGGGTAAGTGATTTTTCAAAAACGCTTTAGAAAACTGATTTGGGCCGAGTAGCAAAACAAACTTGTAGCCAATCAGCATTAAGGGGCGTGTCTACTCATGATGTGGAGGAGAGAGCGTTCAGTGCACAGGACGGACATTAGCCGATCAGAGCAACAGAAAGATCGAGATGGTGGATAAAAAACAAAAGAGGAAAACGCCTGCGGAAAAAAAAGAAGGCTTAAGGCAATAAGGCAAGAAGTAGGACCCGTGTAAATATCGGATCAGCTTTCCAGCGCTGGAGAGAACTCAAGGAGAGGAAGGCCTGCGATCGGACGCCGAGGTTGCTTTGTTTCTTCTCGATAGGTGATTAACACCGTGTCTGCGCCGCAACAGCTAAAGTCTGTCTAGCACACTGGACGCGACAAAGCGACCGTTGAAATCATTTGAAATGTGTGTCAAGACGTCATAAATAGAACACAGCAGCAGTTTTCTGTCGGGGATTTGTCGTGTCGCGCCGCATCCAGTGTAGACCATAGATATGTATATATATCTATGGTGTAGACAGCATCACTGATTATAATGAGTTCCATAGTATTTTGTCGCTCCGCGCCACTCGTCGACTTGATTGCACAGATACAATTCGAACAGAGCTGAGCTGGATGAAGACATCACTGAATCAATGATGAAGTGACTTTAACTGGAAAATTACGTGTTTACTATCGTCTTCTTGCAATATCAACGCACTATTTTCCTGTTTAATACTGTAAAGCAGCTTTGACACAATCTGTATTGTATAAAGCGCTATATAAATAAAGCTGACTTGACTGTCAGTGATCACGTTTTTTCGTGTCCTAAAACACACACACTCATAACCACACATCAAACACAATATGAACGAACTACATTTATGTATAAAAACAACACAATCATGCAATAAAGAAGAGACACTGACAGATTAGCCAGGGCAGAGAGAGAGAGTAGTGAAAAGAGAGAAGGTACTAAGAAGCCGTATGGTCATGTCTGGGTCACAGAGGTCAGAAGTTCAACAGATCTTCTTACCTTAACGTCTGCTTTTTTGTTCAACAAGCTCTTGGCTGCTACAATGGGAGGAAATAAGAGAGAGACGTTAAATCAGCAACACCGTAATACAAAACGTCAACTAACCCACCGGACGGGCAGTTGAGTTTAACCAAGGCTATATTTCCTAAAATGAAACATAACACTGCAGATATTAATCATACCTATAATCTATCTGGTAAACCATAACTAGGCCCAAACAGGATTCTGCACTCAGTTTGGGGAAGAATTGTATGGAATGGATTTCAATGTAGTAAATATGTTAAAGATGGTTGAGAGCTCTAGGCTCCTACCGGTAAATAATCTAATGATCAAGTAAGCTCAAAAGAGGCAGGAGATTCAATTCAAATTATGCAATAATATCCAGAACGTGCTGCAAGGACAGATTCTGTGTTGGCCTACTTATACACATGATACAGCATTGATGAGTCATTAACAATACATTATATAATTCTTATTAGCTCAGCAGTCAATGTAGATATGAATATACACTACTATTCAAAACGTTGGGAGTTAGTAAAACATTTTTTAAACGCTGTTCTTTTGAACTTTCTATTTATTAAAGAATCCTGAAAAAATTATCACTTATATGTATAACTTCCACAAAAATATTAAGCAGCACAACTGTTTTCAGCAGTGAAAACAGCAAAAAGAAATGTTACTTGAGCACCAAATTAGCATATTAGAATAATTTCTGAAACATCATCTGACACTAAAGACTGAAGTAATGGCTGCTGAAAATGTAGCTCTCACCCAAGAAATAAATTACATTTTAAACAATATTACATGATTATTTAACATTTCATAATATTACTGTTTTTACTGTATTGTCAATAAATGCATCAAATAAATACAGCATTGGTGAGCCTAAGAGCCTTCTTTAAAAACCATGAAAAAAATGTAACCAACCCCACTTTTGAAAGGTAGTGCGTATGAAATTAAATATATATTTCAATGTTTCGTGATATCTAGCTATTTGATTGTCCAAGAGCTAATGACCTATTAAGTATTATATAAAAGTAACAATGATTTTTAAACATTAAGATTTATTATAAAGTGTTACTCATGGCCTCTAAGATTGAACAATTCAAAAATCTATAAATAAATAAACAAATAAAATACAATAAATAGTTTTTGTCTTATAGGAAAAATTGTGGTAGAAAAATCCACTAAGCTATACATATTTATCTGCTTCCTTATCACAGAAACAATGTTGCCACAGATATCTCATTACTCTGTGTACATTTTTTTTTTTACTACTTCATAAATGCTTGTTTTCAGGTTTAGCCAAACAGTTTCCAGACAGTGTAGCTGACCGAGGAACTTTTCAATCCAAGAAATATTAGGATTGATAATTATATAATAATAAATTATATAATAATTTATTTATTATATAATAAATAAATAATATTTATTAATTAACATTAAATGTTAATAATAAATAAACAGCATCATGGTGAACAACACTTTTTAAATCAATATAAAACAATCATTCATGAGTAAAAAGAAGCGTCTGACACAATCACTGTCTGTCATTGTAGGTTCTTGTACTATTTTATATTCAGAATGCATCTCTCACTCTCTCAAGCACCTCTGAAGCAGTTCATTCAAACACTTCTTTTTTTAGCATTAAATCACAGTAACACCATCACATTCACATCAAACTCATTCGGCAAGTCTGTTTGCTCAAAGACTTTTACAGCCAGAGTTGGTTAGTCTATTAATAAAGCACAGAAGAGATTTTCAGCTTTATCCCTCAGGTTATACATGGGGATAGGCATTCATACTGCAAATATGACACTGTAAGTAATCCCAAAACAAAACTTTTTTTTTTCTTTTGAGGGGAGAGGGGGTATATTTGTGTACAACTGTCACTGGATTTTTAATCACAGTGAAATGTCTTCAAATCCAAATTCAATCAAACTGAGTTACGAAACAAATGTGTTTTTATTACTTAAAATTCCGAGTACTCGGGTACTTGTGTCCATCCCACTTGTACACCTTGAAGGATATCTTAACCAGTTTCTACTAGGGATGTTAAAGGGTTAGTTCAGCCAAAAATAAAAATTAGGCTGTGTTTTACTCACCCCCGATGCATCCTAGGTGTATATGACTTTCTTCTTTTAGACGAATCCAGTCGGAGTTATATTAAAAATTGTCTTTGATCTTTCAAGCTCTATCGTTGTACTCAGCGGGTGTTGCATTCCTTCAGTCCAAAAGACGTGAAATAAAAAGCCCCCTTCCACAAAAATAAAGGCAAACCTTTTACAATTCTGATTATCTTTATGACTAAAAGAAGTAGTTGTTTCCATTGTTAGATGGAAAAAACTCAAGTGATTGCGCCAGCGCCGCATGTGCACACACAGTTAAGCATTATTTGCTATATTTTGTGTGGAATGAGAGACCCAACGTTGGTTTCAGTTTCATTTTTGCCTAAACGAATTTGTTTTGGCTTGTCGTTTATATTGCTATAGCTTCTTATATTTTTAATTCTTGTTCTTTTCTAAATACTGTTAATTGAAAGGCGTTGTTGTGGAGTGAGGGGAACTAAAATAGCCCAGCTATGTTTACAGTATTTATTATAATGTTTGTAAACATTTCGCATCGGCATTAGGACTATTTCTGAATGAAATAATAAAATGCGACTTATACGGAACTTATGTTGTTTTTCTCTAAAAAACTATTTTTTTTATACGCGTAGCGTATTTTAACCACGCAGCAAATCTTTTTTAATATTTTGATAAGTCACTGAAAAAATAAAATAAAATGACTTTTTAAACCGTTTAACTGATTGTATTAATCGGTCAAAATTCTATACGGTCGGTTAACGGTTAACCGGTTATGAACATCCCTAGTTTCTACTTATCTAGGTACTGTTCGTTTAATACAATCAGTTCAGCAAAAACCCTGTCATTTAGAACATTTTGTAAAATGATCCCACAGATACAGCTCCGTCACCAGCAAGATGGCATGAGCCGGCATTATGCATTAAAAAAAAAAACACATAGCAAGAGGTTGCACAAAGAAATTAAGTCTAATACATGTGCTGTACTTCTGGTCATAAACTGAAAAACAGGGTCACTCAAGGTTGGTATTTGATACGGATCCTCCTAGAACTGGTGGCCCAAAGAGATCAGTGAGAAGAAATGAGCATGCGTCTCTGTAGAAAGAGGAGTTGTGAAGTAACATCTAATACTCTAGAGTGAGTGGAGCTCCTTACCTTGCCATTAACACAGAGAGCAAGAGCAAGAGAGAATGAAGAGAAAAAGAGAGAGCAATGGAGAAGAGGTCAAAATACCAGAGTGCTGTCTCTATGAACGCTGATGTTAAACGACTATCGATGGAGCTGTATATGGGGCTCAAGAACAAAACAAAAAAGTATGTCAACTTGTTTTCAGTACAGTCATCATTTTTCTCAGAGTTGATCTACTTTGCAGAGAGTCAGCACAAACAAGGTTTAGCAAAAAATAGCAGGCAAATACGTTTGTGCCAGGCTGTTTTGTATAAGCAGTTACACTACTCTAAAACCTAGTCCTCAATTGTTCTCTAATGCTTTAAAAACACATTACATATGAAAATATTATTATTTACATTAAATAAGTTAACTTAACAATTGCAATATATTTATACAAAATACAAATATATTTATATATTGACATTATCTTGACAATTTTAATGCATCTTGTGCAATGTGGAGTAGTTGCACAAGCAAAACTGAGCATTATTGTCTAATGATAACGCAGCTTTTCACTACATGACAAAAAGCATGTGAACTCCTTACCTATTTTTACACCTTTTGAACCTTGATTTCAAAACTATGGGAGTTGCATCCCCTTTTGCTGTTATAACAGCTTCCACTGTAACAGCCAAACTTAGGGGTGTACACATACTTGTTTATAACCTAAATCATATTAGTTTCACAATTTGAGTTGAATTACTGAAATAAATGAACTTTTCCACGACATTCTAATTTATTGAGATGCACCTGTATTCTCTTATACGCACTATATAAAAGTCAAACGTGAGGATTTGGAATGATCCAGATGTCAGTCCCATATGTAGTGTAACTGCCTATAGTGCAGTAGTCTGGTTGCTCAGGCTGGGGGTAGCAGAAGGACAACAGAGAGAGGCAGCACTACATAAATATTTGATTGCAGGCATGTGGAGGGAGCATCAAATATGAAGCACAGCCTTCACATTGAGCCACAGCACACGCTCAATGTACCAGCTCAACCCTTCTAGCATGATGCACTCTATGTTAAAAAAAAAAAAAAACGGAAAAGGAAAAGCTGAAAAACATTTAAACCTGAATCATTTTTTGCCCTCTAAAAAAGGTAACCAGCAAAACAATGCCACTAGCTTCTCCTCCAGAGCAGCTGTTAAGATAAATCAAGAAATACTAAATAATCACGTTTTACCTTTAAGCTTAAATGCCAGTGCCAGGTCAAAATGATGCTTTCACTGACAGAAAAACATAATTCTAAGCCATTTTAGAACAAATAAATAAATATTAAGATATTAAATATAATTAAAAAGCTGAAAATTATTTACAATACAGTCAGTCAATCTACAATTTGGACCACACATTTCAGAATAAAGGCCTGTTCACACCAAAGATGATAACTATAAAGATTACTATGTTAGTGTCCACAGCAATGGACAATGATTATTATTAATATTAAACAGAATTTTAAACCTTTAAAACTATGAAACAACACAAACTGTAATGTTCAACAAATCAAAACTAATCTTGTACTTCGTCTTCTGCTTTTCTTTTACTATCTGGTCAAAATAAAACACTCTGAATAAAATAAAAATAATTTGAGCAGCTTGCTCTGGCATTGATTTGTTTCGTGACAGATTAGCAAAGATTGGTTTTCTTTGTATCAGCTCTGGAGGAGATGCAAGAAACAGAGTCATTAAAGTAGAAAGATTCCAAATACAATGTTCTTGATCAAACTGAAACTACAATGTTTTATTACAGGCATGTAGGCCCAAGATTAACTTTGATAAATTGCTTACTTGAGTGTAGTGCTCTAGGTTAAACCCTGCAAAATAAAATAAATGTACTGCAACAGTAGATTCACTACAGTCTAATATGGAACAAAAAGAGATACTGTGCATTTCCCTTCATACTGTAGATCCAGTATCTTTAAGTACTGTTAATTGAAATTCTACAGAATTCTACATCCTGTCCATGTCCATTAAATAAGAAAAAAAGACTACATAAAAAGAAGTACAGTTGTCAAGAAGCTTTGACCATGCACAAGTGCACCAGATCCGTTCAGCCCATCTCACCCCCAAGTTAGTGAACATGCATTAGTCCAACCTCCCATGCAGCATTGAGCACAACAGCAGGCAGACTGTTCCACCCCCTGAAAGAGGGGTGAACTTCAACTTCACAGACCATATTAAAGACAGAGTAAAGGAAGGAAGAATACAGAGGATGAAAGTGAAGATGGCTTATGGGTGTCAGATAAAAATGGCAAAGAAAAGTGATGAGGAGGAGGAGGAGGATAAGAATAAACCAGAAAAAAAAGGAAGAGGCAGTGATTTATGGCACATACTGTATGAAAGGAAAAAAATGATGGAGAAAACAGGACTCAAAAAAAGAGAGTGGGAAGGGACAATACATTCATCATGTAGGGATCTTGGTGTAGATCCTCTGTAAAATAAATAAAAGATGAATGAAGTGGTGATGACAGTGATGACGACAGACAGCTGAGGGAACCAATAAGCAAATACATATGATATTAGACATGAACTGCAAGAGAAATGAGATGAAAAATGACACAAAAGTGTGGAGGACAAGAAAGAAACGGAAGAAACAGCAGGTAGAGGTAGAGGGTGAGTCATCATGCATGCTTTAGCCCCATGCAGAGACAATCATGGACTAGTGAGAGACAGAGAGGATGATGGGAGAGGTTGAAATACAAAAATGTTTCTTTCATAGAAGAGATGAAAGAAACTGGAAAAAAAGGTGAAAAAGTTTTATTAGACAAACAAGAAAAAAAGGAAACCAAACAGGAAATAAGAAAGGAAATTAACAGGAAAATGGGAAAAGAAAAGGGGTAAGGAAAAGGAAAGGAAAATGGAAAGAAAGGGGAAAAGCAAAGGAATATGAAAGAAAAAATGAATAGGGAAGTAAAAGGGAAATTGCAAAGGAAAGGGAAAAGGGAAAGGAAAAGGGAAGAGGAAAGGAAAAGGACAAAGGACATAGTAGGGGAGAGACAGGGAAAATGGAAAGAACTGGGAAAAGCAAAGGAAAATGAAAGAAAAAATGAATAGGGAAGTAAAAGGGAAATTGCAAAGGGAAAGGAAAAGGGAAGAGGAAAGGAAAAGGACAAAGGACATAGTAGGGGAGAGACAGGGAAAATGGAAAGAAAGGGGAAAAGCAAAGGAAAAGTAAAGAAAAAATGAATAGGGAAGTAAAAGGGAAATTGTAAAGGAAAAGGAAAAGGGAAAAGGGAAGAGGAAAGGAAAAGGACAAAGGACATAGAAGGGGAGAGACAGGGAAAATGGAAAGAAAGGGGAAAAGCAAAGAAATAAGAAAGAAAAAGGAAATGAATAGGGAAGTAAAAGGTTAATAGGAAATGAAAGGAAAGGAAAGAGGAAAAGGAATGGAAAGGAAAATGTATTAATTAAATGAAAAAGAAAAGAACAAAAAGAAAATGGAATAGGGAAATGAAAAGAAAGGAAGAGGAAAAGGGCAAAGGAAATAGGAAATAGGAAATGGAAAAAGGAAACAGAAAAGGGCAAATGAAAAAGGAAATGGGAGGAAATTATATGGGAAGTGAAAAGGGAAAAAGAGAGAGAAAGTAAAAGAAAGAACTAGAATTTCAAAGGAAAACAAAGTAAATAGAAAATAGAAATGGAAACGAAAGAAGGAATGGGAGGAATATGCAGAGAGGAGCATACAGACAGAAAGGGGCAGAGGAATTGGGCCCTGTAGGGCGGCGCTACCTTGTTCCACCAGCCCTGCTGTGGTGCCTGCAGCCGCGGCTACTGCAGCCGCAGCCACAGTGACCGAGGCGGGAGCCGTGGTCTGCCTGCTACCCACTAACACACACACACACACACACACACACACAAAATCACAAACAAAATGAGAGAGAGGGAAGAGGAAAGGGGGCAGAGTGAAAGAGAACCATTCATTAGTCTATGGGAGAAGAAACTGTCAGTTATAAGAACATGTCAAACCAATTTTCTTTTTTATTTCTTTGAGACAGGTGGCTTGTAACAAAACAATCCCCACTCAAACAAGAGCCATATTTTCATTACAACAAAGACAAGACTCTGACCCAGAGGGATTCATCCCTCCTAACATTCAAAACCACACGTTTATCAACGTTCTCTGCTGGACCATCATCTAGAGGTTACAAGCAGAGCCCTGACATCACAGATGAGATCAAAAGACAGAAAGTGCTACTATAACCGTTTGAATTCCCAATAAGGATGCAGTTAAATAAAGGAGAATTGACAGAGAGAGAGTGAAATTACATGTGCAGTGAGAATGCATGTTATTTTGCATTATGCATGATATCTGTGAGGTCCGAGCATGAAAACTGCAACTGTGTATATAGAGAGTGGTCCCAGAAAGTATGTGGACACTTAAACCACACTTAAAAATGTATGAGCATCATATTAGATATTGACACAAGTGGCATTTAGAAGTAGTAATTTGTTAAAAATTATTTAAAGATATTTAAACCATTCAAAAGTAAAATATAAAATGTTAAGAATAGTTCACCCAAAAATGAAATTTCCATCTTTTTTGTGATTTTTGCATTTAAAATGACAGATTTTTTTGGCAGTAATTTCTTGCAATGTTTTTTTTTATTTTTATATATATAGGATTTTCTCGGCAAAGGAGAAGTGCTCACTAACACAGATTTAGACGGATTTGTGAACAATATTTGAGAGAAATAGGCCTTTTGTGTACATAGAAAAAGTCTTAGATCTTTGAGTTCAGCTCATGAAAAATGGGGGCAAAAACAAAAGTGTTGCGTTTATAATTTTGTTCAGTGTATGACAAAAAAATATTCTTATCCACTTCTATCACAAAACCTTTAGGAAAATTATTGTTGTTATTTTTTAAATAAGAACAAAGAACCAAATTACAAACAATAAGACAAAGATACAAATGAGACTACTTAACATTTTTACAGGTGCAAAATACTACAGAAATTGAATAATCAAATTTAAAAAATTTTTTACTTTACTTTTTCATTCATGCATATTTGTTTATTACACTACTGCATCAATAATTTCACATAGTATTGTGCTTTTTGTGATTATTTTGCTTTATTTAGCTTATTTTCATTGGCTTATTAGGCGGCATCACAAAAATGCTACATTTTATTGATTCCGCAATAGTAGAAACGTGGAAAACTGAAGGGACCCTCTAGCATTTATTTTTGGGTGCCATTTGGTTTGATATCTAATGCAATAACAATATACAACTTCAAGTACAACTTAAGTCTCTAAATACTTGTCAGGGCCACAAAATCTGTGTATAATTATATAAACCCTGTATAGCATGGACAATCTTGCCCATGAGTTACTTTTATTTGAACACAAAACAAGTACATCTTTGACACACGACATCACATCAAGATGGAGTGGGGATGTAAAAGACACACAGACGGTTCCCTGGAGAGTCGTAAGAACATACACAGACCAATCAGAAATCACACACACCTGTCAACTCAGCTGTCAATCAAAACCATTCTAAAGTTAATTTCCATCTGCATCATACCCGAGTAACTTACCAGAGAAGTTCCGTGACACAAGCATGGTGGTGAGGATGGCCCCCTGTGAGGAGAGAGAGGAAACATAACCTCTGCGTGTGTAAAATTAGAATTGAGTGAGCATGTGTGTGTGTGACCATGAAATGCACCTTGAGTTTCCTCCTGGCGTTGAACTTCTTCAGGCATTCCACAGTCTCTTGTCTGTGCATCATGGAAGCCACAGTAGAGCGTTGCTATAGAAACAAATAGGGAAAAGATTTTTACTGTACATCTAGACCCATGTTTTGCTGTTTTCGTGTTTATATGTCTGCATGTGCGGGTCGATGAATACGTACGCAGACCCATGGGTGTTTGAGAGCTTCCTGTGCAGTGATTCTCTTGGCAGGGTTTATGGTTAGCATTTGATTGATGAGATTTTTGGCTTCAGGAGTAACTGTGTCCCATTCTGGAGATGGAAACTATTAAATAAATAATAAAAAAGATTATGATTCTACAACTATAACTTTACTCTGTCAACAAGCGCTGCAATGCATCAAATAAAACACCTGTTGGAATTTGCAGTTTGTGTAACTTTTGATTCAAAGTCATGCCTCTCCTAGAAAAATAAAATCACCTGTCAAAGTGAAGAATTCCTTAATTTCCTGAACTGGTACTATGCAGCTATACGAGTCAATTCTGGCTCAGCCAAAATGGCGCATATCGGGCAAAAGTGAGTATTAATTCACATTTTTGAACCATTTCAAACACATTTTTGAACAATGTAAAATGATACTGAAATTACTTCATATATAAAATATGATCAAAAATCACACACTCATGCAGGGCCGATACGATACCGATATTAGGGAGTAAAAAATATTCTTTGTGTATATACAAAGTACAGTACCAATCAAAAGTTTGGACACTTTCCCATTCGTGTGTCCAAACTTTTGACTGGTACTATATATAGAATACAGTATATACATAAACAGAATATATATACATAAACACATTTTTTGCAATGATCACTCAAATGTAGGGGTGTGCGATATTGACAAAAAATTATATCTCGATATTTTATGGGATTTTATCGATAACGATAATTAGACGATATTTTGCTGAGTGTGTTATTGTGCTGGTACCTTAAGGACTGCCGAAGACAGCTGACTCCTAATGTTTTTAATATTCTTCATATTCTGTGTGGTGGTCAGTTCATACTGATAGAAATGAATCTTTTCCAATAAGTTTAAACTGATTTTTGCATTTTATGGGCATTTTAACCTTTATAAAGCCATTTTTTCTAAAAGTGTCCATTATCTTTTGAGTCAAATTCTTACATTTAATCAGGGAATTAGAATAATAAGACATTTGGGCTGTTACCAAGCAAATTAAATCAACACAGAAGCTGCATCTGAAGTGGCATTTAGATGTATTTACACACATGTATTTTGTTTAATGCAAGACATGAATGCATTTAACCTGCAATTACAAATGCAACGGTCGAATAAGACAACGCTTGAATGCTGCTGCCTGAACAAGAGACCTCCTTACTGAAGTGAAAGTGTTGGCTGGTGTCACTATCTCGCGAACGCGGCGGCGGATCTCCACCAAATTCGGGGGATCCCTTCAGCTTGAGGAGCCCTCTCGAACGCCACCCTCCATGCATCGGTAGCCACCCGAGATCGCCAGATCGGTCGGTGTCCGACCGCGAATTTAACTGCCCGTAACTCCCGGACCCCGGGGGCTATCAATGCAGGGGTGGTCTCATTCGAAAGGGGGCATCGAGACATACACTCGATTCGGCGTTCGAGAGGGTTTCTCGAGCTGAAGGGATCTCCCGAATTTGGTGCGGATCCGCCGTGCTGTTACCGTTCAAAGTTTCAATGGTATTCCATACACCTAAACTTTAAAGCGTTTCATCCAGGTCGCCAGTAGCAAACAATGGAGCGTGCTCTGCAGGACAAACTACGTAATTACACCATTTACAAGCATTTTATCTGCATTTTATGTTCTGTAAAAAAAAATTTCATATCAGTGGCATATCGGCGGCATATTCGCCGATACGATATATGTGCGACAGGCTCATATCGGCCGATACAATCGGCAAAACGATATATCAGTCGGGCTCTAGTTTTTGTAATGAGAAACCTTTAAACTTAAAACCTTTATTTGAAATACAGTATTTTAGCAAAAAAACTGAAAAGATGTTAAACTCACATCATAAGCTCCTGCTTTGATCTGTTGGTAAAGTTTATGCTGATCCTCATCCCAGAAAGGTGGATATCCAACCAGCAGAATGTACAGAATCACACCTTAATAAAGAGAATGAAAAAAATCTGAATAATCATTCTGTTGTTATTAACATTTTTGAGGCTGTTGCATACAGTATAGCCACCCTATGCCATCATTTATTTACAATACGTTTATTTCATACTAAGCATACCATACTTCAAATCCATTAACATTTAATGACATATCACTTGAGACTATTAATAAGTATTGTATGATCTCTGAATAATATCAGTCTTTAAATGCAAGGTATGTAAATTGTACCTGAAGTATATTTGCAATAGTTGCACTTTAGCACAATCAAATATACTTAAGTATATCTTTAGATGGATTTCAGCACTATTTCTGCATAATTAAAGCGCATTAAGCACAAAACTAATTGTTCCAATTTAGCAGACTTTAAGTATACCAGTTTAGTATACCAAATGTACAATTGCAGGATATTTTATTAAGCACATACATATGTAAAACCCTCTAAAACCAGACAACCAGACCAGTTTGACCAAGGTAGGAGTCCAGCTTTAGGAGACCTTTTTTTCAGCACAGTGGAGAAGGCAGCAAGACAGCTTAGTTTTGATGGACAGCACAGAAAACTATTTCTTCGGAATGAGCATTTGCTTGTCACTGTATTTGAGTTTATTTACCGCAAGCCCAGATGTCCACGGGTTTGCCATATGCTTCCTTCCTCAGCACCTCGGGGGACAGGTAACCTGGTGTCCCTGCAAATCCTGTAAAATGCACAGTAAAATGTGACAATAAAAGCATCAGCAGTAAGTACAATCAAGTTCTAAAGTGTTTGTGACAAGTCACATGGGCATCTCTCTATATCAGCCTACAGGTTTGCAATGTTTACATACCAAACCATGCCTGCTGGTCTCCCTGCACCTCAATGGCCAGTCCAAAGTCGGCCAGTTTCACAGCGGCGTTCTTGCACTTACTGGCCAAGAGCAGATTCTCTGGCTGAGGGGAGAATGAAGACATTTCTCCTGCCTTAACACACAACTTTACTGCCTCAAACACACACACACTTACACTGTGCATGCTGACACACACTTCACAACAAAAATAGATAGTCAGATAGCTATCACATGGTCTTAACATAAAACCAGTGCACATTTAACACAGTGTATAATCAACCTCCCAAATCTGATTCTGTGATATTAGTTGAAGAACTTTCTGACTGCAGATAGTTTCTAAATGAAGAATGCAGGGGAAAAAAATTATGTTTGTCTTCACTGGTAATAAGAGTGTGTGCGTGTTTTCCTCCCAACTGACCCAGATTATCTAGCTCTAGCCTCATTATTCTCTGTCACTGAGGGATGCTAATAATGTGATATCCCCTCTAGTGCCTCCCGATGCTTCCGCTAGCACACAAATGACACGATCTTATAAATCATAGTGCTAGCAACACTGATCTATAAGAGCAGGCTAACAAACCAAATACACACAGTCACACACACCTTAAGCACTGCACCAGATAGTGAAATCTCAAGCAGCTTTTCCTGCATTGCAGGGTCTGCTGGATCTAACATTCACTTCCCTCACTTTCTTATTCATGTTGGAGAATACAGCTAAAATGATTCAAACTGTGACAAAAATATATACACTACCGTTTAAGAGTTGGGGTCAGTAAGATTATTAAAAAATCATCATAATAAAAATACTTTAATGCTGCTAGGATGGATTAAATTGATCAAAAGTGACAGTAGAGACATTATTTATCGTTATACATTATAATGTTACAAAATATTTCTATTTCAAATAAACACTTTCGTTTAAACTTTATATTCTTTAAGAAATTTAAAAAAAAATGTATCCTGGTTTCCACAAAAATATTAACCAGCACAAATGTTTTCAACTATAATAATAGTAAGAAAAGTTTTTTGACCATCAGATCAGAATATCAGAAAGATTTCTGAAGAATCATGTCACACTAAAGACTGATGCAACACAGGAATAAATTACACTTTAAAATATATTAAAATAGAAAATTGTTATTTTAATAATATTTCACAATATTACTATATCCTGTATTTTTTAACAAATAACTGTTGAACAGAAGAGACTTTCTAAAACATTACAAAATCAGCCTTTGAAGTGTTTATATTAGAGCTGCACGATTCTGGATAAACTGAGAATCATGATTTGTTTTATTTTAAATAGAGATCACGATTCTCCCACGATTCTGAACTAAGCAAAATAACATGTAATTTACTAGAGGCTGTGACAAAATATTAATTGCCCCATTCTATTGAAAACTGTTTAATTAATTTGAATGAATTATTAAAAATTTTTTTTTATGAATAATTCAATGACTCACATAAATAGGCTACTTTACTTGCTCCATTACTGAATGAATCAGCAGTGTTGAACAAATCTCTTGAATGAATGATTTAATGACTAAAGCCCGGGATACACTGCACGATTTTTGGCTGTCCCAGACGAAAGATTGCCATCGTGAAGCAATCGTGGCGATTTCTGTGATCGTGGCTCTTAATCGGTGGTCCTATGTCGTACAGTGAGAGAGGTTCAAAGACGGGCGTTTTCCCGGTCTTGCGACCAAAGATAACCTACGATAGTTTTCTGAGAGTGTCAGAAATTCAGCATGATCAACGCACAGTGTGTTTGCTGCAACGACCTGCGTCTACTCAGCAGCCAATGAAATTGCAACATGAAATGACGTATTGATCCACGCGACCAGCGGCGCTACAATTTCAATGCCATGGAGGCAAAAAAAAGTAGAAGGTATACTGGTATGTGGGATACCCATAAAGAACAAATTCTTGTTGAGTTGTGGCAGCAGAGGGCATGTTTGTACGATGTGTCCTCTAGCTGCTATCATGACCGCACCAAAAAGGACATAGCATGGAAGGAGATAGCGGAGGAACTGCAGCTGCCAAGCTCCCTGTGCAAAACTGGCATCCCAAGTTGTCCTCTTTTCCCGAGCCATGAGCGGGTCCATATTGCCCTCTTCCGCCGGCGCCTCTTCTTTGTTTCAGCGCACATGAAAAGCACAACTGCCAAAGCGCGATCCATCTTGATGTACCGGTATTTGTTTACCACTAGTGCATGCTGATTGCGCTAACGTGTGTCGCAGCCGTCGCAGCCTACGATTCAATAGGTGTCATCATCGTACAGTCTACATGCTTGTCGTACCCAAGTTTAAACGATCCATGTCGCACAGTGCGATAAAGTAACGATCTTATAGGATTGCTAAAATCGTGCAGTGTATCCCGGGCTTAATGCATTTTTTAACAGTCACTAGTCGTCACCTAGTGGTGAAACAATGTAATCAACATTGTAATCAACAAACGTTATTTGTCTAGACACAGAGGAATTGTCATTTAGAAATAAGATCGCATGGGTGTTTGAATCAAGATTGCGATCTTTTAACAATGAATCGTGCAGCTAGTTTATATGTATATTCGTTCATATATAATAAGGTCACTGCTTTCATTAGAAATTAAGAGCAAATTGACAGTAGGGTTCTCTGATGATCAATAATATTTAACAGAACATCAACCAATATTTTTTTTAGCATATATGTAGAATTATCTAACATTTATAATTATAACCTAAGTCCTATGAAAATCATCTACATATTAATACATGTGGGTAACTATGGTTGCAGATGCAGAGTCAACTTGCTCTCAAGCGCTCACAGAGCAGCTTTGACCATTCCAATTTGGTGGACGTCTTACATACAGTGGCTAACGAGGCATTTACAGTCGCTAACGAGGCATTTACAGTACATATACATATCTATGGAGCAAATTTGGCTCCTAAATGTTTCATTTTGAGCCAGGGGGTATTTACTACTTTTCTACATTGTTATCCCTGTTCCATAATGCTCATTATCACAATCACCTCACCACCATCCCTTCATTAAAATTTCCTAGATTGGTCTCCATCCTCAGCAGCACGCACATAGCACAGCTAATGCAGAGTGCTTCCAAAAAAAAGGTTAAACATGCGCACTGCTGAGGGCTGGAACACCAGCAGCTAATCCCAGCCTTAAACCTCAGTAGTGGGAGGAATTTTGATGAACAGCAACCTCTGAGAACAAATCTAGCAAAGAAGATCTACCAAAATCTCTCTCCAACGCTCTTTCATAAGCGTATAACCTCTGCAGTGAAATCCATGACTTGACTTTCTAGCAAAAATCTCATCAGCATGGGCACAGCTATGAATCAAAGTACATATATATGCATACACTGACAAACACAGCTGGATGCACTGCTTCAATTGGCTCGAGTTGGTTTAGTTTACTTGCTTAGCTCAGTAAAATCCAAAAAAGCATGGGTGTTGATAGACGTGTCGTGTGCTATTGGGTCTGTGTGTGTGTGCAAGATCGCTGCTCTTTTCTGCAGTGGCATTCCTGTCATGCCCACTCAGATTCCCGCTGTGGAAGAGCGCGTGCCCCAGGTTTCCATTCAGAAGGGCACTCCAGTGTGGGCAGACACTGATAGCGTGAAACCAAAGTGCTGGTACTGTCAGAGTAGAGTACCGAGCTGACCGCAACAATGCTGTTTTTAGCATTTACCTGGTTTCTTTTTCTGGATACTGCTACAGTGAAACTGAAGCTTGAATCTAAATGGATTAAATCTAGCAATGCACCAAAATTTCACAAACTGTACATATTTGAAAAATCAAAAAAGAATGAATTTGCAGTTTTAAATGAAAACGTTTTGGAAGGCCAAAATCATTGACTCAAAAGAGTAACGATTGTAAAGAGTGACACATATTACCATATTTTATCCACAAAACTTAGATAAGCCACAACAGGTAAGCATGTCAGCATTATGGACACACTAAACCATGATGAAATATTATGCTAAAATAGCAATATTCAAAAGTAGTTCAGCTGAAACATTGAGAGACGGCTTGTTGCTTAAGAACTTTACTACGAGAACTTGGCACTTGATTTTTGGTTTTGATTTTCTAACATTAATTCTAACCTAAATTCTTTGAAAATCATCTGCTGAAGTCTATTGCAGATCTAGACATTAATACATGTAAATAACTATGGTTGCAGCTGAACTAGGGAGGTATGTCAAGCATTCATGATCCAATATTCGGATAAAACAGCAAAAAAAAAATATAGTAATACATTTTTGGTTTCAGACGAAATAATTTTGAAATTCTGAGAGGTGACTTGTTCCAAAGAACTACTACGACTGGATTAATTTATCATCTGAGCTTGAACAGCATACAGAGTTCAATTATCCAATTACACAAATGTAATTATTACCAAAACCTTTCTGTTTTCAGCTAAATGACAACTTAAATTTTGGTTTCATATTTCTATGCTAATTAAATCAGATTGAAGCACCTGATTTATTGATATACATCTGGATGTAATTTCGCACGTGCTCTTTACAGACTCGACATGTCAATAAAAGCACACAATACAAAGTGCACCGTTTTCAAAAGGATCTGTGCATTTTGAAGTAAACCTGCAGATAAATGTGCATTTATAAAGTGACATTACATATATACAAGTCACAATCAAACCACTTACACATGCATACGAGACAAACAAACAAGACAAACGAGCAAACCACATTAAGAACAATTTACAAGATTGCTATCAACAGATAAACATGCAGCATGCATTCCGAAGCGGCTTCTCTTCGCCGACAAACCGCAAAGCGCTAACTATGTGTTCGTACAGAAGGCATGGGATATTTTTGGCAGTTATGATAAGCATCCTAGGCTCATTTCTGGCCGGTTCACACTGTAATCTGACTGCAAAGCATGCCAGGTACTGTAGCGTGAGTGACAGACTGACAGTAGTTGAATTACATCTAGGAACAACATTTCCCAGAAGCACACTGCATTTTAGAAAAGGTCAAAGGTCAGAAGGGAGCAGTCAAATGCCATTGTAGTGCACTCAAACCTGGACATGACAACTGGTCTGGGACTGGGACCCTGATGTCTACACTGACTCTCTGGTCAATAAAAGCAATCTAGATAAGAGTTATATTCATAGTTAATTAAATTTGGTCTATTTTTATTTATATTATTTTTACAGACATTTTTGTGTGAGCACTTTTGAAGTTCAAAAGAGACATTTATCTTGATTGATAAACTAAAATCAATGTCGCTCTTCAAGTCAGTCCAATTAGCGCAGTCTTACCTGAACATTCACGAAAGTGAATTTATCACCAGCAGCGGCCAAACACAGCAACACACAAGCACATACGCCATGCACTATCACTGTGTGAAATCGGACTGACCTCCCATGTATTTCTCAATCTC